AAACGGGCGCACCTGTTGCGGTTCTTGAACGCTGCGTACGACTGAGTCGAGGCCGGGTGTGCACGTTACGACGACGACGACGAAGCAGGATCGGATCGGGACGGATGTGCCCATGGGCGGCGAGAAAAGGTACCGTTCTGTCGGGGCGCGTGCCCCCTGGTGACGATTGGCGTGCCCGATGGCGATATGAGGGGTTGGGGGCGGATGAGAGGGATCGACCTCGTTTGAGATGCTTATTAACGCGGACGGCTGCGGGAAGGCGGACGCTGTCGGCACGGCCTGGGAGACGAAGGCGTGTCCTGGGAGCGCTTGCGGGTGCCGGCGGCGGGTGGGGACTCGCGAAGGGGTGATGGTGGGACTGGCCGCGGCTGGTCGTGAGCTCAGGTATAAGTCGCGTCCAGCGCGGTCAGCGGACGCCTTCCATTCTCTGTGGCGCACAAAGGCTCGCGGGGGCAGTAGACGATGCCGATGGGTGACATCTCGGGCAGAGGTGGGAAGGCGAGGGACTAATGCCACCGTTAGACTCTGTCATCATCGGCGCTCGATATTGCATTTATCTGATGCTCGTTGCAGCGACCAGGGCTGGTCATTGCCTTGCTATCTCCGGGTAAATTGCAGTAAACATCTCCACCGCGGCCGAGGTCCATTTGGGCTGTCAGGTCCAGGTCTGCTCCCGGGTGCATCCCACGGCGGCCTGCGCGCGTGGCGAGAATGCGCCCCGTTCGGACGCGCACGTCAGTCGCGTGGCCCCGAATCTTGCCCGCCCACGCTTCCCTTCCCAGGCCCACGCGACGCCCTCCCTTATAAAGGGCGCACACGCACATTCTGCCCGCACGCGGCCAGTCCGCTGCGACGCCCGCTCTCCTCGTGCGCATGTAGCCCTGCCCGCCCCGCATGCTCTCGCTCACAGATGCCTCGATAATATCCACCGTCCTCGAGGCCATCCTCTATGGTCTGTCCCCGCCTGCCCAGAGCTGCCCCGACAGCCACTGATCGCCCACAGGCTTCTCTCTGCTCATGTTCATCTTTACGCTCTGGATCGTGCTCCAGAACCGCAGGAGACGCCGCCTCAACCACGGCATGCTCGGTGCCGCCTGCGCCATCCTCGCCCTCTCCACCGCCGTACGTCACTCTCTCGCGGCCCCCTCCCCCCCCCTGTATCACCGCACTGACAGCACAAGCCCGACAGGAGATGATCGTTAATATCATCAGGGTTCGCGACGGCTTCCTCATCACCGGCCCCCGCCTCCCTGGCGGCACCGAGCAGTTCTTCAGGGACGTCTCCCAGGCGACCTTTGTCATCAAGAGCTGCCTCTACAACACCCAGACCCTCATCCTCGACGGTGTCGTGGCACGTACATCTGCCCTCTTTTTATTCCCGAACCACGCCTTCTCATTCAGCCCCCCGCAGATCTACCGGACCTACATCGTCTGGCAGAACCCGTGGATCGTCGTCCTCCCTGTCCTGGGGTGGTCCGGCCTCTTCGGTGCGTTCTCTGCGGGTGATGTCACTCCCTGCGGTGCTGACACAAGCGACGCGTCCGCCCAGCGTGCTCCATAGGCCTCAACATCGCCCTCGCCACCGCGTCGACCCACGCCGGCGACGTCTTTGCCGCACAGACCGGCCGGTGGATCACCGCCAACTACGCCATCACCCTCGCGACGAACCTGTCCTCGACCAGTGAGTGTCTTTCGCCCGGTGGCCCTCACAGTCGCTACGCACGCACGCCACGCACGCACGCAACGCACATTCACTCACTCGCAGTCCCTTGCCAGGCCTGCTCGCGTTCCGCATCTGGCGCGTCAAGCAGCAGAGCGCGCGCTTCTCGAGCACGAACAACCCGCTCTCGCCCATCCTGCGCGTCGTCATCGAGTCGGGCGCGATCTACTCGCTCACGATCACCACCGCGCTCGTCGCGTTCGTGAGCAAGTCCAACGGCGTCTACGTCGTCCTTGACATGGTGCGTTCGCCCTGGGTGCACACACATGTGTGTGTGTCGTGTGTGTAGGGGGTCGTGCTCGCTGACGCGCGCGCAAGCACAGATCTCGCCCATCATCTCGATCGTCTTCAACATGATCACCGTCCGCGTCGGGCTCGCGAGCGACCAGCGGCTCTCGGCGCCGGGCACGCTCCACCAGAGCGCGTTCTCGACCGAGGTGCGCGCCGGCATGATGAGCGCCGTCGCCGACGGACAGACGACCACGACGACCACCACCGCGCACGCGTACAGCCACCACCAGCAGTACGGCTACGGCCACGCGCACACATACCCGTACGGCCACTCGCTCGCGGTCGAGATCACGCAGTACATCGAGCGCGACGACGACACGTCCCTCCGGGAGGACGACGGCCCGGACTCCCCCGGCGTCGTCGTCAAGCCCGCGTCGGTCACCTTCTCGAGCGCGCCCTCGGTCGCGATCTCCCAGCTCGATCCATGACGTGCATTCTATGTGCCTTTTCCACGCTGTTATTGAGATGTATAGTTTCTTTTTGGCTGGAGCGCATGCGCGGGGCCCGCCTTCGGCGGGTCCCCCCCCCCGGAGTCTTTTCTTCTCTCTCTTTCTCTGCTTGATGTCACACACACTCACAGCTTAATGGACCCGTGGCCCTCGTGCGCCGCTCTACATTGCTACAAGCCCTGTAACCCATACTATACCTTTTTTTTTCCATCTGCACAGCATGTCGGTCTGCACCCACACCAGCTTATATCTCCTTATGTACCATGTTTCGTGCGTGTGTGCATGAGAAGGGGGGGAAAAAATAAACAAAAAAAGACCACGAGCCGATTCTGTATCGAGTCTTTGGTTACGCTTGGGACCTCTCCGGGCTGCACGTAAGTCTACCTTGGTGCCGGCCGTCCATGGCCGCCACGGCACGCTGGCAGGCGCCCGCGCCCGCTGCTGCCTCAGCATCACAAGGAGGTAAAGCACAGATTTTTTCTCAAGTGAAAACCGAACAAACACAGGTCCTCGTCCGACAGGCCTTTGAACAATCTTGCAAGGGAAAAAAAAACATCCACACTTTTCCGGTTTTTACCGCGTTTTGGTCTATTTTGGCCGATTTTGCACCCGCTTTTAGCTCCATTTGATTTAGCGCACAATCGGGGGAACATGAGGTTCTTGTTTTTCCCTATTTGTCCCGAAAAAAGAAAAGCCGCGCTTTGACGTCCAATACAAATTAGGTACAAGCAACAAAAGCCGAATCATGCCTAAAAAGAAAAAGCGGTAAAACTCGGTGAAATAAATCGAAGCTGTTTTCTTCATTTGCGCAAAACTCGGTAGAGGAGACCAAGGTCCCCATTTTGTTCAGCCACCACCCCCCCCAAGTTCTGGACCGGCTTTGCAGGTCACCCAGTACTTGCGCGACGCGGCCGGCCGTCCCGGCGTACGCTTCGCAGCCCTCCCTCACGGTCTGCTTCTGCACACGCGGCGGCCTTGGCTCCGTCGTGCTTCTGACCCCTGGGTTCGCCCGGCCGCGGCCAGGATCTGCCATCCGGGAAGCACGTGCGTTGCATTCCACGACGCGTGGCAGGCGAAGAAGCCTGAGGGAGGTTGCCGACGGCATCAATTGGGTCTCGGCTCGAGCTGCTGCAAACAACTCAATAAGGCGGGCGCCGGGAGCAATATGAGCTGAATGAGAGAGCACTGCATCTCAAGAACGTTTGACGATGTGACGAGGCGGCCGCCGGCCGTGTGGTGGCGGTGGTGGTGCTTCTTCTGCCCCGGTTGCCGTCTTCGCGAGACCCAGGTGCCTGTATAGCGGCATGGCAGCGTGACCACCGAGAAATGTTGCGGCTTTTTGAGGATGGGAAAGTCCCCCGCGCTGGGAATCGATGGATCGTTGACGTATGACTCCAAGCACTTCAGAAGGAAAACCATGGCCAATGCTGTTATGAAAAGCCTCGGGCATTCGATCGCGAACTTGAACATGATGTCGAGACTGCTTGGAGCTTCTTTGAATGCCCTGTGCTCGAGTATGCAAGCGAACCCGCCGAAGGTCCCTTGACACGGACGCTCGTGAGCTCTTGTTCAAGTTTAGGTCTGCTCTCCCACGCTGGCCACTGGACGTTACATGTGCCGGCTGATCATTCTGCGTTCCGTAGTCGACGTCCACCTCGCTGGGATGACGCACAGCGACATCACCGACATCGACGTGTTGTTCAATAGCTCTTCTTGCGCGAAGGAGGCTGTGGTGCTGAGAACAGAGCGCGTAAGCGATGACGGCTGTGCTGGTTGCGCAGAGTGCCATTTGCACGCGGTTTGGGGTTGGCTATCCGACGAGACCGTCCTGCCGTGTGCTTTTCTGTAATGCAATATGGGTCATCATGCAAATGCTCCGGGATTCGAGGCGCTTTCTACGGGCCCAGAGCCAAAATACCACAGGTGCCCCAAGTGCATCACCACACGCATCAGTTGCGGGCTAGAACGTCCAGGAGTTGGGAATTCTGTGCCGTCTAGGGCGTCTACGCTGTCCATGCCGTCCATGTAAGCGCTCCGTCACATGTCACAGGCCTCAGACCTGGGATGGTGATCAAGCACGCTGTACGGCCATGCCTCACACTGCGCACAATAAGAGAGACATAGGATACACGAGTTTATTATCCTGTAGTTAGAGTGTCTTAATGGGCCGACAGGCGTAGCATGGAGTCACTGGCTCCCTTTCTGCAGTAAACTAAGTGCGCTGCATCAGGGAAACTGAACATTGTTGTGGACCACTACGAAGTCTATTTACAATGTTGTATTTGAAGTGTTTATTATCACATATCGCGACAGGGCTAGATATTGTAATCAGACAAGTGCTCGTCCTATATGGGCAAATAGGCGCCTAAGCTAGAGTCCAGCGTTTTCCGTATCGCAGAGCGGTGTCTTAAGAATAAAATAAATTAGAAAAATTGTATAGACCGCATAGGGCCTACGAGAGAACATGGATGCTATAGACAGCAGAGACAGAGTGAGCAAGACGCATGAGCAAAGTGGGACTTTGCTTATGACATTCTGTCACGAGATGTAACACACCAGTCTGACGCGCGCGTTACAAAACGTCACGTCTAACCTAACACGGAAGGTGCGGAGAGCGCCGACAACATGGCACAGAAACCCCAACTCCGGGACCCTCTGAGCCCAGTTTAGCGAGCGA